TGTCAGGCCGTTTGCTGTGGCAGCTGGAGCATATTTCAATTTCTGGGTGGTTTTAATGCCTGGGCAAAGCTCAGCCCTAAATACAGAAGTGAACCAGTTGCTGCGTCGCTACCTGTCTGGCTTTCTGACAGCTATCCCTGTCCGTATCCAACACCCTTCCAAGCAGCCATCCCAAGCAATTTGTTAATGTTTTTTATATATATTTATTTATTTATTTATTTATTTATTTTTTTGTTGTTGAAGCAATAATGGTTTTAATTGACAACCTTTTGTGCCTTTCATTTGCTTTTCAGAGTTGGCAACGTGTTTCATTCCTGCAGAGAGGGTGTGTCAGTCAGATAAAGCTCCGTGTTTCTGTGGGACTTTAAACTTCCAAGTGTGACATTTCTTCCAGTCAGATGTAACTCAATGTACAAACTGCCTTAAAAACATAATCTATTTGTGCAGGTATTTGTGGCAACATGAAGGGATTTCTTAGTTGTGTTTAATTATTTAAAACACAAATGTGATGCTTTTGAACTAATGTCAAAGTGTACAAAGGAGTGATTACTCTTTCTGCTTCGCTTTCTATGGATGTCGTAGTCATGTCTGAGAAAGACAGTGGTGAAAATCTGACAGAAGAAATATCTTACAAAGATGAAAACAAACAGGAAGCAGAGGAATTTGGCTGCACTAAAAACAATGAAGAGAGAGAGCAAGAGCTTGAGCCTGTGCCTATGACTCGGAAAAGACCTGAGCCCAAACCCCCAAGCCAGCCTTCTGCCACAGAAAAGCCTCCAGCTGAAACCCTCAAGGTATGTTCCTGAGCTACCTCTGAATAATGTGACTTCATGTTTCATGGCTGTGAGCACAGATTAATTCTGAGCATGAGCCCCACTCCTTTTCTGAAAATTCACATTTCTCTTTATCTAAAAAGAAAAAGCTGTACAAAAGTTACATGTCACAGATGGCTTGTGTTCCTCTCCACACCCTAATACCTGCATCACTTTCTTCTGCTTTTCTTCATTAAAGGTCTCGGATACTCCTGCTGCAGTTCAGACAGGATGGGGGTACTGGGGAAGCTGGGGGAAATCTCTTCTGTCAACTGCGTCTGCTACCGTAGCTACTGTAGGTAAGGCTCTTTCTGGTAGTTGATAATTATTTTCACCAAACTTCATGTCTCAAACTAGTGCTTTTGACCTTGTTTGTAGAGAAGGGGATTTCTGTTATAGGAGCAATTATTGGAAAAATGTCAAAAGAATTGTTCAAGTAATGGGGAAAACTTGAACCAAAAGGTGCAGTGAGATTAAGGAGATATGCACAGCCAAAATGACTTGCAAGTTATTAAGATGTTTGCATAATTTTCAGCTGGTATTTTAAACTGGTATTCAGATGGTATTTACAATGCAATTTAAAAGCTGAGATGAAACCTGAGTTCATTACGTTGGTAAACAAGCTGGGTCGTAGTCGCTTTTAGTGCTGGGTAAACTGTCTTGAACAGAAGGAATCCAGACTAATAAAAAACAGTGCACAGCCCTCATCCTGCTTCTGTCCTGATTTCTCTTGTATCTCATGGTTAAAGTGAGACTACTGCTGTCTTCTCTAGGTCAAGGAATTTCAAATGTCATAGAAAAAGCAGAGACAACCCTTGGGATCCCCAGTCCTAGTGAAATCTCTTCAGAGACTAGAGATGCTACAAGAGGTCAGTTTTTACTGCATAAAAACAACACTGAAACTTTTCTCATAACATAATCAGCCCTAAAATAGCACCACCTTCCTTGGTATCTTGCATATTCAGGTAGACACCTATGTGCTAAAATAATACTCTATTGCTTACTTTTGTTAGCTCTGAAAAGTAGGTAGGAAAATAATCCCAATTCTGGCTCTGCTCCAGGCTGGCACTTGGTGTTTGTTAATTTTCTCCACTCTGCAGCTGACAAGATCTTTTTTTTTGGGGGAGTGAGAAAATTAATTTTCTGCCTTCTAATGCAGGAAGCGAGAATCCTGATGCTAGCAGCACAGATGCAGTTGATGATGGCAGTTCCTTTCCTATTGCTGGGGCTCTTGGAGTTTTATCAACAATCTCTACTGCTGTCCAAAGCACAGTGAGTGAGTTGGGAAGTCAGGAGGATATGGGTTTAAGAGAGCATTGGGTTTTTTGCCTTGCATCTGAAGCATCGTAATAGGAAACTTTTAACTTTGACTTTTGTGGGATGAATGGTGAGAAACTGTTTCAACCTTCAGACAACCTTTATCCTGGGCTTCTAACTGGCACTTCTTCTGTAAGTTGTCTTGAATTGCGATAGTTCTGTACTAAATGTTGATACATAACAAAAAAGCCCCTAATGGTGGACTGTGTGGTGTGTGCATTCCTGTGCACATCACCTCTGTACTCTGTTATCTCTGCTCCCTTCCTTTAGAGTATTCAGGTAAATGCAGGGTCAAACTCATTCCTGGAATATTTTCACTGATTTCCACAGAACTGTCTAGAGATGAAATCCATTCTCCTCTTCAAAAACTTCTTTGAGACTAGCCCAAATTGCTTGGAAATCAGCTTGCTCCTGTGACCGTGAGAAATGCACTTCAGAGGAGCCCATTACCCTTAGAAACTGTGCTTTTGTGATCTGCTGTCTTGTCAATTTGCCCATGAATTTGAAAGAGCTGCAGATGGAAAGCTTGCTTCTGCTTCTCTGGCTTGAACAAGAGTTAGCAACCAAAACCTCCAGGTCTAGTGTTTTCTGATTGAAGGGATGAGAATGAAATACTTTAATGTGCTGAGAACCAGCTTGTTCACAAAATAAAAATGTATTTCCCATCAGATTGCTGCAGCTGCCTGAGTGCTACATTAAACTGTTGGATGATAGTGTAGTGTGGCTCTTTCTGTATCATTCTACTCTCTTTGTGGTGATGAGGGTTGAATTTTAGGGTGACAAGGACCAATTTAGCTTGATATAAATTCCCCAATTCAGTTTCTTCAATTGTAGAGTCTTCTGTGAGATTTATGCACTGTCTGTGTCCAAATCTGATTTCTAGGGAAAAAGTGTTATTAGTGGGGGTCTGGATGCCTTGGAATTCATCGGGAAGAAGACAATGGATGTAATTGCTGAGGGAGACCCTGGATTCAAAAAAACAAAGGGCCTAATGAACAGAAACTCTACGTTATCTCAGGTATGGCAGTTCTGTGTCAGCTCCTCATTGGTTTCTCTCATTTCTTCTCCCTTCTTTTGTGGTCCTGTCTTTAAGCAACCATTTACTATTGAACCAAAAGCCTTCTCCTCCTATATTCTGTATCTTCTGGCACTGACCTCCTGAGTCCTCTGCTTTTCTTTTTCAGGTCTTACGAGAGGCAAAGGAGAAAGAAGAGCAGCAGACAGCTACTGAGGTTACCATGGCTACGGAGAAGAAAGCCCATTATGGGTTACTGTTTGATGAGTTTCAGGGTCTTTCGCATCTGGAGGCCTTAGAGATGCTTTCCAGAGAGAGTGAATCAAAGGTAATGGCCTTGAGCAATTTGCCTCATATTTTGAGTTCAGCTGAGCAGGACAAAAAAGATTAGAAATGTGTGTATATGCATGTAAAATCAGGTGCTCCCAACTTGCTATAAAGTGATTGATTACACAACTTCACTTTGATCCCTGCGTTATGAGCTGGTGTGTACCTTGGGAGCATTATGTCCTGTTCTCAGCTCCTAGAGCCATTTTCTTTACCCAGCTAACCTCAGTTCCTGCATGTCTTCAACAGCTTTTCACTAGTTACTCTCTTGTCATACCCACTTGTTTGCTGCCTTGATCTGGAGAAGAGGAGAGCATTGCAAGCACAGCAGAGATTGTTCTCTCCGTCTTGGACAGGAGGAGGGCAGATCAGCATGCAATTTCAGAAGTCATTCACTTTTTAATGAAATACATTATTTTAATAACTCCTTAAGAATCCATTATTATCTTACAAGACTTCAGAAACAGGTCTTTTTCCCTTTCCTCCTTCCTGTAGGAAAATACCACTTTCTCATTAGTATCAGTCTGTGTTTTTCTATGCAGTGTAAACCAGTGCTGCATCTTCCATCCTCTCCCCCTTTTTTTGTTGGATTTATGATTCTCTCTTTGGCTGTGTTGCCCCTAACTAGGTGAAATCGGTTCTAAATGCCCTCTCTGGAGAAGAGTTGGACACACTGCAGGAGGAAATGGAACAACTCAAAGAAGCGTTTTCTTTACCTGAGTTCTTTGAGGAAGAGGAGGAAGAAAAGAAGGGTAAGAGAGTCCCAGGTTCTGGGAGGAGGAGCTGGTTCTCAATGAAATTCTCAGTATAGAACCAGCCAACCCTGAGATTACTAGCAATGGGCATGATGCCTAAGTAAAGTTGTTATTTAGCTGGATGCTTAATCCTAAAGCTGTCTGTGGCCAGGAGCATGACAGATAGCAATACTCTTCATGTCTGGAAAGCTGCTGTGCATTAACTCTGTGGCAGGAACAGTTTCTTGCCAGAGCAGGATGAGAGTTGCTTGACTCCTTTACAGTTTATACAACTAACTTTGAGCCTGGATGCAAATTCAAAGAGATGCTGGATTTCCCTGAGCACAAGGGAAAGAATGTGAATAGAGTTGTCCAACCAGTGGGAAAGCAAAAAGCCTTTTCTTTTTATTTTTTTTTCTTTTTAATGAGAGTTCTGCTTACATACCAAAAGACTCAGGTGCCTCCATATACAAGATCCATCCGATTCTTGAGGATTATGTAGATTTAAATGTAAATTTCTTGCATTGCTTTTACCTAAATGGGTCATCAGGGAGGGCTTACACACCTGCACTTGCTATCATTTAGCATTTAATGTATCTTTTGTATTTGCACATGATGGATCTCACAGCCTTCCCCCCACTGTTAACATCTGCCCTGCTGTATATAATAGGAGAACCATAGGCTTTAAGTGACATTTCAGACTCTCCAAGGTGATGTGCAAATTAGTGCATTATAAAATGCTGCCTCTAAAATCACACACAAAAAAAAAAAAAAGACTTTAGCTACAAAACCAGGGTCAAGAAAGAAAAAAGCTGAACTTTTGGCACTGGTATCTCTACCTTTTCAGAGCTTACCTTATAAATTACATTTTAAAAGACAAGGTTTGATGCATTCTTGCCCAAGGTGATGATTCAAAGAGAAATACAGGAACAGTTGACAGACTTATACAGAACTATTTGTGCATTGAAGTGCTGCTTGATTCTTGTATCTGTCCTTTGTGTGGATTCTTTAACCTTTCCTGTCCTTTAGGAGACGAGGAGTTCACAAAAGAAGTAACAGAGTTGTTTTCAGAATTGCGCATCTCCTCAAAGCCGGACAAACTGATCATGGTGAGTTATTTCCCATCTTCTAAAAGCTGGAGAGATTCCTCATAGGAACTGCTTCTCAGTCCTGCTTTCCTTGTGAAAATACCAAAGACATGAAAACAAGCTGTATTTTAGATCCTTTGATCTAAAGGATAGGCCTTTTCCTTTGACTTTATGGGGCAAAATCATGTTCTGTTACATCTTTGGCTCTGAATTGGTCTTTGCCCTGTCACTGGGCAGTAATAAGTGGTGGCAAAGATAACCAGGACCAGTAAGGCTTCAGCCACCACAGTGAAATCAACCTACAGTCCTGAACTGAAGCCCTTCTCTTGGTTCAGAAGCTGGTATGAGGTAGAATTGCCTTTTTTGCCTTTCATTTCACTACCCTTCAGATCCACCAAGTGGCAGCAGCATTCTGCAGACATGTTTTTAAAGCACCTCTGTTGTGGTCTTGCTGGTAAACTCCAGCACCAAGTGCTAGAGAAATGACTGCTCTCAGCTACATTGCAGCCAACCCTCTATAAAGTCCTGAAGGCACTAAGATCTTTTCTCCTGGTTCTTCTCACTAGCTCAGGAGTCATAGCTGTTTCCCTCACGTAGAGAGATCCAATACTCCATGTTTTGTGGTGTTCAGGGGGGCTTCATTCCAGTCATTAAATACTATGACACATCTTCATACAGGTGAGGACGTCTGCTCATGAATGGATAGCACAATTCAACAGTGGTCTTCCTAAAGAAGAAAGAGAGAGTGAAGAAAACCAAGAAGTAGAATCCAGAGATGGTGACCATGATGCTAAGAAATCCGTAGAGGTAACAGAGTAGTGAAGGAAGAGAGTATCTGACTGCAGAGTGTTTATCTGGCTGCTAAGTTACCGTTGTGATTCCGAGAGCTGATGGGTTTCTATTTCTGTGCAGATTCTGAGGTCTGAAAGGGCAGTGTAATGATAATACTTGTGTGATTCACTTGTTTTAAATAAGAAAAGCTGCTAGTTTTTGTATGATACGGGGAATCTTTTTAACTCTTGCAGGATATTCATGCATTTGCCATAAGAAGCCTGGCTGAACTGACAGCGTGCTCCATTGAGATGTTTCACAAAACTGCAGCTTTGTTTCTACATGGTCAGAAACATGAAGTGACAGCCACAGACAGAGCCAAGTCCCTTTCACAGTGAGTTCATCTCTTAATAAATGTGTAGCATATAATTATTTGCATACTGATTAAACTGTCTAATAAGTCTTTGCAATCCATGGTATGCAGGGCTCTTGAATTCTGCACGTGTGTTCAAAGTTGCAATGGGTGGCATCGCTATCTTCCAGCAGAATTCAGCTGTCTCTTTCTTCTTCCAGCTTAAAGACATTTCTTAATGAGGAAGAGGAAACTCTACTTGAAAGTTTTTATATAACCAAGAAGAATGTTTGCCCTAAGCTTGTGCTAGTTAGTAGATAGACATTTAAAATATGACAAAGCAGTTGTATAAAAGTGATTCTTAATTACCTCTTTGTTAATCATTTAGTATGTTAGGTCTGTGATATTGTAAAATTACTGCAAATAATTAGGAGATTGGTCCTGTCAAGAATGCATAACATGAGATTTTTCTTTTATGTTGGGAGATACTTGGCAAGTGTGTGAAATATGCAGTACTTCCTAATTCAGAAAATGACACTTCTTAGTAAAAAAAGAAAAAGTGTGGGCTAGTACCGTTCCTTCTTGAGTGGATGTGTCTGTCCTTTGAATGCTGTTTCTGATCTTCTTCAATTATTTATTTTTCCATCTTTCCCCTCCCTGGTTTGTTTGGGGAACTTCTGGATCTTCCTACACTGTTTATATGTTTTATTGTGGTTTAATTTAGTGTTATATGCATGGAAATAAGGTATTTGCGTTTTAGAGGAATGATAAAAGAAAGTTATTGTTGTATTCTGTATTTACTACATGGTTTTCTCACTCTTCTTCCACAGAATGACAATTGTGCTGTGTAAAGAACTGTCAGCTTTCTCTAAAGAGTTTACTACGTGCTTAACAACTGCAGGGGTAAGAGTTACACCACAGTTCTTAGGAATGAGTTGGTGTTAGTTGATTACAAGCCTTGGGATCTTCCCCACAAAGTGCTTTTTGTGTTTGCACATTTATATATGTGTGTTTTTCCCCATGAACTGATCTTCTAGGTCAGTGTTGCCCAAATAGTGGCAGCTGAATGTATGCTGAGCTTTTGAATGCCTCCTACTGCATTCAGCCTGGCATAGAGTGGGGGTGGGAATTGGTGCTGACAGTACTAAGGAGACAGAAGAAAAGAAGGTTTGTGACCCTATTGTGTATTTTCAGGTGTTACTGAAGATAATATTGTCTCTAAATTCTGCAGTTGTCCACAGTTCATTTGAAGATGTGATGTGTGTATTCATATATAACTTGTGTTGGGCATACGTGGGTTACTTTGTTCTTATTTGCATGCTACAGGGCAGGTCCTCCGCAGCTTGTGGCTTAGCTTTCCTCTAGTCAAGGGAGCAATGGTGATTTAAAATTTACTGAGGATTTAACTTTATCTTGCTTGAAGAAATGTGATCAAATTTTCAATCAGGATAATACATGTCTGATCTCTGCAGGTCAAAGAGAAAGCAGATGTGCTTAATCCCTTAATCACTGGAGTGTTTTTGGAGGTCAGTTATTGTAAAGTTAAAACTTTTAAGCTAATACTTAAAAAATACATGTGCTGGTTTTTTTCCATTTCTTTATCCTTATGAAAGCCAAGTTCTTTAACCTGTGGTCTAAGATTCTACTTACCTATCTAATAACTTAAAAGTGTTAATAAATGTCTGTAGCTTTGCACAAGAGGTGGGTTATTTAATGAAGAGTGAACCTCATGCTGTCTCAGCTGACAGTTATGATGGGTGAGAAGACACAGATGAAATTCAGCAGTCTGGATTTCTAGAATTTAAATATCCAAAGTAAAACCTTAGGTGACCTCATAAATTAGCATGCTAGAGTCCCAACACTTCCCAGCTTCTCAATGCTTGTAAACTTCTGAGGTGTGGTAGGAAATGGGTGTTTCCTGTTGGTGTGTTCTTTCTTCCTGCCACAGTATGCTTATGCTTCACTTTGAAATAAATTCTTCTCCTCTGTTATTGAAAACAGCATCCTACATGTGAATTGCACCTGATCTTGTTTGACAGTTTTTAAGCCAGCTGCTTTTTTGCCTAGTGGCATATAGCCCCTCAAAAACTTAATATTAAATTGGTTTCTAGAATAAAGGCTTAAAAATCCAACAAGCACTGGGCTTCTGTTTACGTGCATTAATCAATGCTGTTTGAAATGAGTATGTGGTTAGTAAAGCTGATTGGTAGCATAATTATTCATGTGTGTATTTTGGTTTTTGTTTTTGTAGGCTTCAAACAGTGCTTCGTATATCCAAGATGCCTTCCAGCTCTTGCTGCCTGTGCTGCAGATCTCTCTTATTGAGGCTAGAACGGAACTATCGTAGCAATAAAAATCCTTCTAATTAAGAACTTTTTGACCTTCCCACTTCATAGTTTCCATGCTGGAGAATGATGTAATGGCTGTTATTAAAGGGAAAAAGATTAACTCTGATCGCTGCTGCTGCTGCTGCTGCTGCAAGAACAGTGGTTAAATGCAGTCTGGCAATGACAGCTCTTACAGCACATTGTGAGATGTGATTAGCATAGTCCAGGCTGGTGGACAACGTGACAGACTTAAAGTGCTGATTGCTTCTCTGTTTTCAGGGACTGCCGATATCTTTTCACTGTAATCCCTCTGCTGTGTATGTTAACAAGCTCTTTGGAGAAGCTCTCTGGACTGTGAAGACAATGCTGGAAAAACCAATAGCAGCTGGCTAGTTAAAAAGTTAGCTAAAATCACGGTGTGATTTTTAAGTCGGAGAGACATAATTAGGTTCCTGATAGCTCTGTGTTGGTGTTGAGGTGAATATTGGATAGGTGGTGCAAGAAAAGGCAAATATTTATGATGATGACCCTTGCAGTTCCTAGGCTGGAAAGAATAGAGCAGAGGGGATTCCTTATCGAACCCTTGTTGCTGAAGAGAAGCACCAGCTTCCTGAAGATGTCTGTTAATGACTCAGGGATGTGGGACAGGGACTCTCACTAGGGTGCTGTTTCTCATTCTCTCGCAGAGTGCTTGCTTCAGCACGAGCTGGGAAAATGCTGATCTGGCCCTAAGAATGTGGGTACTTTTCTTTATAGCAATAAATGAGAACTGGCTAAAAGTGATTGATTTGTGTTTGGGCAATTTAATGAGAGAATTTAGCAGGAGAACTCCCCTTTTTCAGTGCAGCTTGATGTCAGCCACAGACTGTTCACAAACTCGGATATTGCCTTTCTCCTCTTTCTGTGTAAAAACACTATAATAACAGACTTTCTTCTTGGAAGGCCTGTCAAAGTAGGGAGGGAGGAAGCAATTTGGTTCTGTTAGCGGGAGTCCTAAATTGTCTCAGAAGCTGCTCCACATATGGTATCTGTTTCTTTGTGCTGTGAAAGTTCCCTGCTTTGTTCCTTTTTGCAATTTCTGTCTTTTGAGCCTACCCATTGGGAGGGAGCAGCCTCTGTTGGAATCACAAAAGCAGAAATGCACAGCAAAAATGGGACTTGAAGAAGTCCAGAATAGCTAACCAGAGGTGACAGCGTGTCACACCTGCCTCTAGAGAGGCTCATTGATAACAATGATGCTCAAATCCCATTTTGAAAATCCTCTGGGTTTTAGCAGCTCTTGCACATTTCTGCTATGCTGAAGGCTTAACATTCCTCTGCTCTATTTGTGCAGGAGAGAAGTGTTTTTATTATTAGAATACCTTTTGGCTAATGCTCCTCTGATTCTATATATATGGAAAAAGCCTTGCCTTAGTCCTGGTTAGACTGATCAGATCTCTAAAGGGAGAGCCTTTTTTTGCATCTTAAAGAAAACTAGACTTGAAAGAAGTGTGTCTGGGGTGAAAAAATGTGCACTACAATAAACTATATATTTTTTTTCCTTATTTGTATTGATAGCATTACTAATGAAAGATTTGACAACCTTTTCAGTTAAAAGCTATTGGGATAGCAGTGGGCACAAACGAAGTGAGAAAAATGAACTGTGGAGTTTTTTCTTCTCAGCCCTGGTTGTGGGGCAGGGCTGGGAGCTGCTCTGGGGCCAGGACAGCTGGGTCTTTTCTCCTGGCAGGGTACTGTCTCATAGAAAACAGGGCTCTAAACCCAGGCTGGGGAGTGAGAACGCCCACAGGAATTCCCACAGTCAGAGCTGCCACAAAGCCAAAATGTACAGAAATTGTCAGAAGAGCAGAAGTAAAGTTAATGAGGTTTTATTCAGCAGCAGCTGCTTTTCTTGCACATAAATTCTACTGACCTGGAGTGCTTTAGTGCAGAGTAGTTTAATACTTAAAGGAAACGAGGTTTGGTTGGGGTTTTTTTGGTTTTGTTTTTAAGATGGAGACATTAATTCTTTCAGTCATGTCCACCTGGATTTTGTTACAGCAATCAATAATCAAACATGCACCAGCTTCACTCGTGTGCCAGTGCAAGGACTGCAATAGATTACCAACAAAAACAGTTCCACAGTTGCTGAAATCTTCCTACCCAAAGGATTCATCAGAATTCAGCATCCAACTGTCTGGAGGTCTTCTCGCTCGGCCTCGCCTTGCGCATGAACCTAATGAGAGCTGGCAGTAATTTGAGCACTTCTGGTAGTGTTTGGGGAGGTGAGAGGTGGCTGAGAATAGATAAGAGTTAGCTGAGATGCTGGCAGTGACTTGGAGTGGAAAAAAAAAAAAAGCCTTCCACAATTATTTTCTTTCCTTGGGAAAGATTCTGTTACTTGCAGCTGTAAAAGCTGCTTCCTGGCAGCTGCTGTGGAAAGGTTTAAAACATAAAAAAAGACACTGTCCTCTAGATGGGCTTTGGGAGTTGCTCCCAGCCCTTGCCCAACCAGCTTCCCATGGACTTGTTTTTCATTATTAAAAGATGCACGTTCCACAACAGTAAAACCTCTGACACAGGCATGATGAGTAGTTGTCCTCCTTTGGAAGAAGCAGCAGCTACATTGCTGCTGGTGGCCCCGAGCAAGGGGACAGCTGTCCCAAGTCACCTACAGCGCAAATTAACTGGCCTGACTCAGAAGCAGGAAGGGAAGAGGAGTAGGAGAGCTCCAGCATTTCTATCCCAGGTGTGCACACTGGATCCTAAATAAACAGCGATCTACGATGATACGATTTAAGCAGAGATTAGTCTTTTGTAGCCAAAGGCTCCTCGGCACAGGAATGGAGGACACAAGTGCCCAGTACTGTGCTAATTAATGGTTTTTAGGATATTTTTTCAGTCCCTTGCAGCTCTGTGCTTTGACAGCAGCTCGGAGGAGGCTGTGTGCTGGTGTTTCGGGTGCTGGCTGGCAGATCGGTTTCCTTCCTTCAAGGGCAGCGTTGTGCCTGCTGCAGGGTAAGAGCAGAGCCCACATGGTCTGTGGGCTGGGACCTAGGAGTGGTTGTGGCTACCACTCTCTGCTGGGTGTTGGCACCCACCCCTGTGCTGTAAGATGCTGGTGGCTGCAGCCTGGCCTGATGGTTAGGGCAGCCCCTGAGAGCCAGTTCCCTGGGGTGATGCTTTGTGTCCCCATGTCCAGGGAGCAGTGGCAGGGCTGTCCCCTGGGCTGCTTCAGCCGGAGGATGCTGCAGGCTTAGGTCCCTCCCATCGGAGTACTGAGAGCCTGGCAGGAAGTGAGCAATGAGGTCACCAGTTAAAAATAAGGTTGAGTGTGGTGTTTGTGGGGGAGGATCCTCCTAAAGTGGTGATAGGAGCTGCTCAAAGGAGTGGGGTTGGGTGCCAGCTGGTCCCAAAGCCAAACAGCCTCCCTGGATCTGGCCCAGGGCCCTGTGCTGTGCTCCCCGTGCACGTCTCCACCGAGGTCCCGTGCCACATCCTGAGTTCCCTGTCTGTGTCACCCTGGGACTGGGCAGGATTGCTGCCATCGTCTACTCCCAGACAGCACTGGCCACCAGGAATTCCCCGAATGATTTCTGTGTCAGCTGAGGCATCTCTGCTAGAAAGCACCACTGCTATTGACTATAAAACTGGCAGCAATGGGGACTCTGCCGCTGGTTTTGCTGAGCTGCTCCAGGGTTTATCCACCCTTGTTAAAACTCATCCCTTATTTCTGACCTAAACCTGCCAAGGGGACTCTTGTTCTGCATTTGGGGCTGGTGTAGGCTCCAGTGGAGAAGGTCTGGCTGGGGCAGATGTGGCCAACTTTTTGGGATGAGTGCTTTCTGTACAGCTGCTTGCTCACCGCGTGAGTTACCCGGGGTTAGTCTCGCTCTGTGGGAGGGGGCTCCACATCTGCTGCAATTACTGTAAATTAAAGTAAAATGACTGTGGGAGCAACTTTGTTGTAGAGTTGAAGGCTGTAAATGGGGCAAATCTTGCGGGAGAGGTAATACCTTTTATTAGGTGGAGAAAACAAATTAGCTTTCAGCTACACAAGCCCTTCCTGACATTATTGTTACTGTTATTATCCCATATTGGTGCTATTAGAAATGAGGGCATTGCGTTAGAGGGGAAGCGCATTATGCAAGTGTTTAGACCTGCTGGTAACTGCTCTCTGATGACAGGTATTTGTTTAATGATATGTTGGAATGAAAGCCAGCAGCAAGGACAAGCATCAGAGGGAGATGAGAGTGCTGAGCTCTGCCTGGTCCAGCCTTGCTTGGACCTCTTGGAGCAGCCAGACGTGTCCCACCAAGAGGAGAGTGAGGACCTGATGGAGGTTCCTCCCACCATAGTTTCAAGGACACCCCCAAATCCCCTCTTCTGTACTTCAAACAGGGTCCTGACCATAGTACATTGCTGGATTGAGTCCCCAGTGCCCTCTCTTATCCCAGTGCTGGTCCCCACAGATGTCTGCAGCCTCCAGATCTGCCCTGGCTTGCTCGCAAAGGGTCAGGAGGTCTTTCTGTTCCTGCCTGCACTGGAGGCAATGTCTGTGAAGCTCTTGTGGGTACGAATGGGACTGGTCATGTTCCTGGTGTCATGTGCTGCCCATGGTGGGTGGCAGAGCCAGTTTTTCTGCTCTGAAAGTGGGACTGGGGAGGAGACCGCAACACTCAAATACCCAGATCCCTGGTAGCTGCCAGCCAGGCATCGAGGAGGCCACTTGCCTTTTTCAGCTCCAGGTAAGGCACTTCCCTGTCTCCCTCATGTCATCGAGGGGATTTAGAGAGTTTATCAATTTGATGGGCTGGAGAAGCAGAGCAGGAGGGCAGGGTGAAGCAGAGGATGCAGCGGGAGCATCCGTAGGATGATTTGCATCCCGTGCTGTCCTGGGGATGGGAATCGAGCATCGTGCTTGAGCCTCATGGGGAGGGCTTCAGTCCTCTGGGTGAGATGGGAGTGGGCACAAACACTCTGACCTGTAAGCCTGTTGTGCCTGGGGGGCAAGGCCATCCAGCCTATTGCACTTGGTGGGGTATGAATATGCAGGTTTC